ACGATTGCTTTCCGCTGTAACTGCTTTGAATTGACAGTCGCGACTAAGTAGTCTTAATGATTCTAAATACCAGTCAACAGTCTCATTTGTTTCTTGACGGCGAGTAAAGAGTTTGTGTCTAGCAAAAACCTCGTTTACAGGTTTAACAAATACATTTTTGAGGACAGTTAAAGCTTCATTGTAAGAATGGCATTGACTTACGTATTCATACATGGTAGGTGATATGTAATTGATAAGAAGACAAAATTTCTCTTCCTCGTTAGCATTTGTACTTCTAATAAAATTTTGGAATCTGTGTTGCCAGTGTTTCCAAACTGTAGATGAATTGTTTGATTCTGAATTCAACTCTAGTATATTTAGACATAGAATACGATCCATTCTTCTTGATCTAAGTAAATTAAATTTTAATAGAAATGAAATTAGTTACCTGGACAGAACAAGGCTTTAATTTACTAAGGAATGATACTTGAACATGTTAGAGCATTGTGTACAAACAGTCAATGAACAAAAACATAAATAACATATGATTTAACAGTTTAGACATAAAGTAAAGAAGGAAAGGCAGAGTATCAAATATTACAACAACGGGCAATCCCTAAAATCATAACATAATGAAGTGCTATTCATTTGGAATTATATAATCATTATTTTTAAGTCATACTTGCATTATTTATCAAATAAACTACTCTTATTTCCTTTTTCGTATTGATAGAAAAGTCACAAATAAACACAAAACACGGTTAAGTCAAATGGGCCTCCTTTCAGTGGAATATATTATAGTACTAGGCAAGAGTCAATACAAATTCCTATTTCAATAACTTTAGTACTGTAATGTATTAATTGATGCTTTCCGAATCCATCGTAATACATTACAGGACCTTTTGTAGAAATTAAAGATACAAGCAACCATTTTGTTACAAGACAGGATGTTTATTTATAGCCTCTCACTGGAGGCTCGAGTTACAAAAACTATCTTGACCTTGGACCTTGGTATTGTTAACCCCCCTTCCCTGCCCTCCCTACAAGTTGCGTTTTTTGTTTACTCCAGCAATAAGACACACTTAACGATGTTATAAATTTGCCGCACAGGTAACAAATTAGATCAGATGTGCTCGCGCTGTGAACGATGATGACAAACTGACAATATGCTATATTTTTTGTGATCAATACAAAATAACTCATTCTTAGTCATATCCTGTGGAGATAAGGGCATGGTTCAGTTCTCATCGCCCAGCGTGGGAGCGGAAATGCCGAGATTCCTAGAAAGTGGTGGTTAAACCGAACTGCTCTCAAAGCAAGGTCGGTTAAAACAAACTGTATTATTTTACCATCGAAGGCGGATAATCCGATTATCGGTTAATACGAGGTCGGTTAAGAGGGGGTGTACTGTAGTCAATCAGAAGGCTCCAAATGACATTGTTGGCAAAACTTATCCTGAAATAAAAATTGTGCAAGTCTAATTCTAGTATCCTAGGTCAATGATAACATTGTGTTCAATCCATGTCATCCATCTGGGTTTATATTTAACCAGCTGTTAGTTGAAACAAATTATATTGCACTAAAACAAACCAAAGACTTTGAAGACTGCTTTCAAAAAATAATTTGAACAACTAGTATTTTACTATGTAAATTTAAATAACCTGTCATCCTCTTACGGAAGAATTGAACGTATCAATGATTATGGCATTACAAATAGTATAAAAATAAGTCAACCCTACATATGTCATTTTTATCCAAATGCTGAATTTGTGTTACACACGCTAAATGTTTATAGCTGTTATGTTAAGCAAATTATATTATACCAAAAGCTAATTTGGAATGTTAGTGTCGGCTGCTAGACTTTTTAAAAATTAAAACTTAATTTATAAAAACCTGAAACCCCAAACTAAAATTATGACTTCAACATTCCCTACTTCTTAAAATTGTCTTCCTTTCAACACAAAAATCATGAAAATCCGTCATGTGGTTGGTTCAGAATCGTGACATAAAAAAACCCTGTCACGTTTTAATATACAGGGTGATTGATATAAGTGTGCCAGGTTAAAGTTTTGAAATCTCTGCATGAGAAAGAGTTTCGATAAAGGCCTAAGCAAGCATGCCAGCTGTTTTATTCTGTTCACTCTTAAATTAAAATAAACATTAAAACCATTTAGGTTAAACATATCTACTAAACTCTCCTTTATATTTACTTCTGTCAAAACAATTACATCCAGGAATTTTAAACTAGTGTCAAACAACAAAATGAACTCATTCCAATGTTTTTTAAGAGATGCAATATTTAAATGAAAAAAGGTTAAACCATTATCAAAATTGTGTTTCTTTGCGCAAATTATTAATTCTGCTATGTATTGGCAGCTAACAGATTTTATCTCATCATCATAATTTATAGCTTCAGCCATCTAGAAGTATGCCATAATGTAATTACGAAACTAAAATACAACTTACTTAATTTTAACTAAATCTTCCTCTGTATCAATTACTATGACCTTGGAATTATCTTCCTTCCTCGCCCGAACCGCTCCATATTTATACCAGATGTACTTGAAGTTGATACTCTTTGCCTGATCTTTAGCTATCTTCAATAGGTTTCTGTAGTAAAAGGAAAGATTTTCGCTGATGTAGATTCTTCCACCATGATGTCCTGTAACCTCTGCATTTGTTACAACTTTCTTCCTAGCCTCCAATAACCTATTGGACGTACTTTTCTGTTGGCAAACTGTACAATTATATTAGCAGGCCGTTGTTCAGTTTTTGTTTTAGGTAAACAATGAGCAATTTCAATGTCCCTCTCCTCTAACTGCACCCCAAACTTTTCGGCCATTTTCATTACCACCTCTTCCACACTCTCACCTTTAACTTCCGCTACCTCATTCACCTCCAAATTTTTATTTCTACCATACTGTATTTTCAGCTCCAAGATCTCCTTATCCTTCTCTACCAGAGTTTCACGTAACTTTTTTTAACTCTTGCTCCATACTCGGCAAACATTTTAATGCATTTTCAAATTTATCATACTGGTCTGACAAAAAATTTTGACTAGCCCTGATCTCAGCAGTAGTCTCCTTTAATGTCTCCAACCCAGAAGAGATATTGCGAATAAGGTCTAACTTTTGATTCACACTTTTTAAAATATCTTCAGTACCTTACCCAGGGAACCCTTCCTCAGTACCTTTCTCGACAGTAGTTATTTCTTGTGTAGACGAACCTTAATGGTTTTTAGTTTTTAGGTCTAGTACTAATAATGTATGGCGCGTAATCTATTCTAGATCTGTTGTTAGATCCACATACTTACTCATTTCTATTCCCAGGAGACGCGGAGACGTAGGTTGGGACTCCTCATTAAAACCCGCCCAAAATGAAACCGAGCATAGAAATGATTTAACAATGCTAGAGTACGTGTCGTACCGTTTGGCGTCAAGAGATGAATTTAGGTCTAAATATGTCTTAAAATCTCACTTTACACTAGGTGGTTGACCTAAATACGTGAGCATAGAGGGCACCCGCCTACAGTGCATGAGAGATAACCAAAGCAGTATGAGATATAGGATCTATATTTAAATTGTATATTACTATAATTTGTTACAACATAATATTTTCATCTAATATATAAAATTCTCGTGTCACAGTGTTTGTCTGCAAACTCCTCCGGAACGACTTCACCGATCGTTATGAAATTTGGTGTGTACATTCTGTAGGTATGCGAATCGGACGTAAACTATTTCCCGTTTCGAAATTCTTAAAAGGGCTCCGCCCCAGTGGCTCTAGAGTTTCCCATGTTAACCTTATGAGAAATGGAATTAATGAATCTTAACAGCTGTTTCAATTAAACAAGTTGGTTCTGTTATATGATGTTCAATAGCATTAAAGTTACAAGGATTACCAACAGGGTGCAGCACTATTATTTCTTTTACATTTATGACAACAGCTAATTTGCAACCAAAAGGTGAGTGAGCGTAGCGAACGAACTTCAACCTGGAGGCGAGTTAGCGTAGCGAACGAGCTAACCTGAAGGCAAGTGAGCGCAGCGAACGAGCTCCAACCTAAAGGTGAGTGAGCGTAACGAACGAGCTCCAACCCAAAGGTGAGTGAGCGTAGCGAACGAACTTCAACCAGGACGTGATTGAGCGATGCGAACGAGATCATCTTGAAAATTAAACGTAACGGTACTTTCTTTCCATCGGTCTGTCTTAGGGGAAACCTATAACTTAGGCGATACGAAGTTCGCCGGGTCAGCTAGTATTTTTATAAAAGTCTTTAACTAACTTTCTTGGAATGACTCTTTAATTGAGGTCAAGCTAACTGTTTATGTTTTCGTTACTGTTCTTTTACTCTTTTATGACAAGTTGCAGTTTTGCTTGATTTCGAGCAACGGGATATCTAGTATCCATAAATAAGCAAACTGCAACAATTTTATTTTCCTCCATTATGGGAATTTTAAATTTAATAGGCCTACTAAATTTTATTATTCAATAACCGTTAGAGATAGAGCAAATCTTGTAATGTAAAAAAATATGCATTTTTAGGTGTTCTTTAACTTCTGTATTTACAAAACGCTGTAATACCAATTGTTTGTAAAATATTGTCAAAAAAGTGAAAATTGGTCGCCATTTTCCAATATGGCGGCTGAAGCACAGCCGAGATTAATGGGGACTTTTGACATTTTCATCAACTTGGCTTACTTAACAACTGAGCAAAATTTCTATTTAGTCCGAATTTGTTAGGTCGATTTTCCTAATATTCTTCCACTATTAATTGTTCTTGAGACTGGGAATACTACACAAATTTAAAAAATGAAAAATCCATATGTTATTACTCTTACATTTAGCTCTTTATTTTCTTGTAAGTTGTAAGTAAAATTGTAAGTTTCTTGCAAACTTTTGTGTGTACCATGAGTATGTGACCTCATTTTGAGATGTACTTACCACAAAAACAAATTTCATTGTAATTTTTTTGAAATATAAAACTGAATCGAGGTTTTGAAATATTGGTTTTGTTTTTAGGAAATATATGAGGCTTATATGTGCTTTTTGCATCGATGTGAAGAATACTTCCTCTGCCAATACTTACCCCCTGAAGGCATCAACAGCGTGGGGGAACACATCATGTTGGAGGCTGCTATGTATCTGGACCGCGTAGCAGATCCTGAAGACAGACGAATTAAATCTTTAATATTTGATTGTTTATTAAAAAGAGAGACATGTATTAGTGGTTGTGATTCCATGAATGAAATAGATCTTTTAGAATTGGGTAGCTATACGGAACTCCAAGGGGGGAATATTATTTTACCGTCTGGATATAGCAGTATATTGGATCCTGTTTGTCAGGTCATTCCGCCTGAAAAACTATTAACAGAACATTCTGTAACCTCAGTAAGATGGAGGCATCATGACTCGGGTGTTAGTGATCAAGGAAACGAATCAGACGACTCTGATAGGACCGTGACAGAAGAACCTCTAGTCAGCGAACACAGTTACACTAGTGATCGTAGAAGTTCCTCGATTAAAAAAACCAAAGACTTGAACAAACCGAAGGTTGAAGTGTGCTGTGAGAATGGTGTAAAAGTGATTGGCGAAAGTGTGATTTGTACTATACCACTAGGAGTCTTAAAAGAATATGCTGACAACTTGTTTATACCTCCACTGCCACAGTATAAAACGGAAGCTTTTGAAAGGCTATTGTTTGGCACTGTCAATAAAATATTTTTAGTGTATGAACGTCCTTTTCTCAATCAAGATATATCTGAGGTTATGTTGCTCTGGAATGCAACTGGAGCACCAAAAAATGGTAAGTCCCTTATCTGCGAGTCCGTCACTTTTGAGTTATTTAGGATTGACACAGTCAAATGAGAAAACTCTTAACACACCCCTCTGTCCACAAAATTTCATTTTTTTAATCACAATCTCGGTTTTGCTCAGAGCGAGTAGAGATCATGATCTGCCACCATGCATTAATGGTGCGCATCTGCTGGGCTAGCTCAACGCTAAGTGCAGCAGCTACCAAAGCTGCAACGTTATCGGCGTAGCCAGTTAAAACTGTATCCCAGACCTCAGGAGGCTGTCGTAGGCGAAATTCCAGAGGTCCGGACTGAGTATTGAACCATGAGTGGCCCCAGAAGTGACGCTCATTGTCCGCAGGCCTTCTGTAGTGTCCTAAATGAGGAGGCAGAGTCAAAGGCAATCCTCTCATATTATGTATACCGGAACATTAAGGTGTTTGCCAGTGCTTTCAGCATACCTTTTGCATTCCAGCATATGCTTCGATCACATCGTGAAATTAAATGCGTTTCGCACACTGAGTGTTAAGAGCAGCACAACCCGACGAAAGTAGTGGTTGCAATTCCCAAGTCTCATCAGGGCTCGCTTCCTTCACCTTTTTAATAGCAAATTAATGGCCTAGTGGCCTAACTCATATTTTTTACCATTACATTAAAAGAAATAATGAAAAACTTTAAGTATCTTTCGGACTTCAAAATCCGTGATATATTCATATTCAATCAATATATAGTTGATAAGGGTGAAAACTATTATTTCTCATCATATCCCTATTATTTGCATTGCGTGTCCTATTATTTTAATTGAGTGCGCAATCTCTTCTAGGCATCTTAGTAAAATTACAAATGCTAATGAAACACACTATGAAAACACAAAATTCCTTCTTTACATATCAAACAAAGACACTACAATATTTTACTTCAATTCCTAAAATCATCAATAAAACATACTATGAAAACACAAATTCCTATCACAACACACAATCCAAAATAAGTCATTTTCTTCTTTGCATTTTATACAAATAGCATTACAATATTTTACTTGGATTCACTGAAACATCACCAACTACAGATAACCCCGTTTTCGTATGGATGTAAACAAAATTGTATTGAGGCAGTCTGTTTTTATGTAAACAAATGTAAACTTAAAGCAGTTTAGATGATTAACAACATAATTCAGCACTTACTTTGAAATTTCAAAAGCCTGTAGGACGAAGGGTATTTCCGAGATACCATGCAAACCCGCAAAAGGCACATCTAGAGCATAAGAGCTTTAAATTGATACCCAATATGCCTATGAAAACTAATATTTAGGGGTCGATTTGCTGCACACAAAAATCACAAATCCATATATAAATCCCAAAGTACTTAAAAACCCATGAACTTTTGAGAAAACTAAAAGTCACACCCACATAAACCATATACTTAAAATGTTCGTCATGACGAGAAACCTTGTGCAAAACTATCCATTATTTCATAAATTGCCCTTTATGGTCGTAATTCCTTTCTAAAGGGACTTTCTGTATATCGTATATCGTAGTGTTAAAAATAACTCAGCTGTACTTATTTGTTTGTTTGTTATTCTTTTATATTCTTATTGAAATCAGGTGTGATTATTTTTGGTTTGTATTACTGTAATATGTTTTGTTTATTTCAGCTTAACTTAACCAATCAATAGCCTATGAAGTCAAACTGGGTGAAGCCTGTGGATAACAGCTAGTTCTTTTAATTTAATTCTATAGATTAGCTTGTAAAATTGTTGATTTAGAATCTTAAATAAATAAATAAATTAACTATAAATTGGATTTAAAATTTAAGATATTGTTTTAAAGCAGTAAATCTTAAAATCCTGAACGTTTTCTAGAAGACTTGTCTGACTGCTGGTTCAAGAAGATATATTCATTCTCCAAGGTCACAGAAACAGTGTTACTGGGATGGGTTTCTGGGAAGGAAGCAGAGTATATGGAAACCCTTTCCCAGGATCAAATTGCCGATATCTGCACACAAATCCTTCGCAAGTTTTTAAATGATCCTTTTGTGCCTAGACCAAAGTTATGTGTCTGGTGAGTCTTTTTATCAACTATCACAAAATATGTCTCAATGTTGTACAAGACATGACTTTGACACTTTTAATAGCAAGAAAAGAATACTTAAGAATATAAAAAAAAGATAAGATTAAAACTTGTAACTTCTGAGCAAACAAGAAATACAGATATGTATTTCATAATTTTTTGCTTCAAAATATAGAACCCTAGTTTAATTGTCTGAACCTAAACTCTACTTAAACGTTAAAACAATGTTTTTGAAATCATTGATTAGACTAATAAAAATGTCAAAAATATTTCTGGTAATAAAAGTGTGGAAACTACAAACTTTTGACGATACGATTTTAGTTTAGTTAAGCTGTAATAATTCTTTCCATTAGAATTTTAAACAACATTTATGGTTCGGTCATCAATAGCCAATCAAACTAGATTGAGAATGAAAAATGTCAATCACTGGCTTTTGCTAGCTATACAGCTGGCACTTCATCCTGATCCTGATAAGACTATTAATTTTCCACTTTACAGTAAAAGAATTATTTATTATAGGCCTATTACTTACAGTAAATAATTAAGGGAACTGCAATCAATAGTATAGCTACTTTAAACAAGGTCAGGCATGAACAGTAAAATCACACTTAAAGTAGTAATTTATAGTACAGTTTGCCAATTAATCAAATATTAAAGTTTACCATAAAATATTATATTTTAACGATAACAAATATATATTTGACAGCACTCACTGGCACAAGGAAAAGTTTACTAGAGGCTCTTACACTGCAATTGCTGTTGGAGCGACTCAAGCAGACATAGAAAACATTGCACAACCTCTATATGCCAGTCCTTTGCATAATAAGGTATGGACAGCAGTCACACTTTTACGTGTAATTTTGTATTTCAGGATAAATATATCCATAAATTGGTAAAAAGTTCCCTGAATATTTAAAATGTTCTTGATTTTCCAATTACATATTAGGCCTACAACAATGCTACCTAAACAGCAAATAGGACTGCACTGTTATATCATTGACTTTATATCTATACACTAGACATCGTATCGTGTACTAAAATCCGTCGCCAACGATTTCAGCCGAACTAGTAGAGTAAACCCTCCATGCAGTGTCGCTCCTAGCGGCCGTGGCTTGAAACTCGATCCGGCTCCACCTCCAGTGCTGCGCGCGCACACGTAGTGGCATGACGTAACCGACGTGCCCGTGCGTATACCTCCCCCCACAACCCTTCCCCCACAACCACTGCCTCTCCTCTCCTCTCTCCGTACTGCCAGCCACAGACGGCCCGGGGAATGCGCTCTGCTTATCTTTGCAACACGCCGCCGGTGTCTCCGAGCCCAAGCATTGTGGTCGCTCGATCGCATACTGTACATGCTAACTTACCTCTTTAAGAATACAATTAATTGGTTATAGTTTTACACTATGTTATTCCCAAGTAGTTTATATACATTATTATAAAAACTAAGGAAGAACCGTTTTGATGTAAATAGAATAATGATAAAATCAAATTGATTTACAAATATAAGCTTGGTAACTGTATAAATAGAATAAATACTGAAATTAGTGTGTACTTTTAAAATGGCAAAAACCTTTATAGGACATCTACATATTTAATACACAGTTGTAAGTCTGTTTTCTCAGTGACTACTGGACCGATATGCAAGATTTATATGTCAAATTAAAGGGAATAATGCGCAGATTTGCCGAATTTCCTTAGTGCAGTATATTTGTTTTTCAAACGCCCTTCAAAGGGCTAGTCATTACAATTCTTATTGAAGAATATGAGATTAGTTATAATTATAAACCATTTGTCAGATGTGAGATATTTGTTATTACTTTTATAACAGAACCATCGAATTAAACAAGTAAAGGACAGTGATGGTGTTAAATGTGCTCTGGGAGTACCTACAAAAACACTGACTTTTGAATTGCGATCGTTAAATTGGATTTGTCCTTTGTCAATAGGCCTACTGCAAATCTATGAATTTCGAGACAGATAACAGGGGCACAAATACATTGTCCTCATGTTGTCCCAAGGGAAGGTTAAATTAGCTCTTTATCAACATTCTGAGCTCTTGGAAAATCTTATCAACTACCTATATATTTAATACACAGTTAGTTGTAAGTCTGTTTTCTCTTTATGTATAAGCATGAGTATGAGATGTATGGCTACATCCAATGTAAAAGAAACAAACACAATTTCTAAAAACTATTTAAATAATATAAGATCATACAAGTATTAGTCCGGTGGCTTAGGGCTTTAATTTACGAATACCGTTACCTGGTGGATAAAAGCACCAAATTTGGCATGAGGGTACCTTAGGGTATACTAATAAATTTTAGCCTAGAAGCCCTTTTGAAATTTTAAATATTTCCACACACGGCACCAAAATTCAAAATGGCCGACAAATACGACAAAAACTACCTTTAAAACAATCCATTCTCCTCTTAACTCTAAAATATAACTTAAATCCAACCAAGACTCTACAATACAAACCGGAGACATACTAAATTATATGAAAGAAATCTTATGTGTGTCTGTGTGTGAGTGGGTGGGGGTATGTGTGTGAGTATTTATGTAACGAAACCTGTACTGGACGTTGCGCAAAAATGGGCAAACCAATTTACTGCAAATTTGGTGTGGACTTTGTTAGTATCATATGTCAACATTTAGATCTGTTTATTTATCTTTTATTTATCTATTTTTATAATTTTGTTTTATTTATTTTTACAATTTTCATCTATTTTTGTTTTTTTTAGATCTACAGGGTTAGGCAAAAGTATGGAACCCCCCAGTTAACTTTTTAACGCGTTGCAGTAGGAAAACCAAACTCGGCATATATTTACACAATAAAAATTGCACTTTTTATCAAAGTTACAACTTTGCCTCAGCCCCCGAAATAGGGTATTTTGGGGGCAGCCCCAAATTTTCAAACTTAAAAACCTATAATGTGACCGCTCATTTTAAAGGGTTTATCAAGATAAATTGAATGGTGAAAACCATAGGTCGATATCGCACCCCTAATCAAAATGGCTGCCATTTTAATTTAAGATGAGCAAGCAAAAGATAAAGTCTGGAAGCCTCCAGTTAACTTTATAACGTGTGGCAGGGGGAAAACCAAACTCGGCACATGTTTACAAAATAAAAAAAATTCACTTTTTCATTACAGTTAGAACTTGTACCCGGCTCCCAAAATGGGGTATTTGGGTGCGGTCCCAAATTTTCAAATGTAAACACCTATCATGTGACCCCTCATTTTAAAGGGTTTCTCAAGACAAATTAAATGGCGCAAACTAGAAGTCAATATCGCCCCCCTAATACTACTTACTTACTGTCCGTGCCCGGAAATCAGACTTCGCATTTCCAAAAATTAGCTACCGATATGGCTTTGTCATTCGCATGTAAAAGATAATCAAATGTGCAAGACTGGTCTAGGCGTGGGCAGATCAGCAGATGGCCAGGATCCTGGACAGCACCACACGCGCACAAGATGTTTTCTTTGTCTGGTAAGAGACCCCATTTCTGCATGTTTGTCCTGCATTTTGGTACCTCGACCCTAATTCGATTTAGGGTCTTCCACACCGTGTAAAGAAGGCCTCCACCAGGAGCCAGTTCCTCCCTGGCTGGTAAGGAAGGGTTAGTCAACGTGGCCTCCCACCTTGCCACCCGATTGATTGAGAGTGATCCATCCAGGACTCGTGTCCGTGATAAAAAGCTCTTTCTGGACCGAAGCTGTCACTCTGTAGCAGGTTGGTGGCCATGTAATGGGTGACGAGGGTCTGTCTTTTGCTTAGTCCTTTCTGCGTCGGCAGCGACATCACGTCGGATTGATGGAGGGGCGATCCCTATGATAGGATAGTTTGTGTACTGGGGTTGGTTTCAAAGACCCAGTTACAATCCGAGCCATGTCATTGACTGCTATGTCAACCTTTTTTGCATGTGACGATGCATTCCATACTGGTGCAGCGTACTCCGCAGCCGACACACTGAGCGCTAAAGCTGAGGTTCTGAGGACATTAGGGTTAGCACCCCAGAATCTGCTGGTGAGCTTCCTGATGATATTATTCCTCGCTGAGACTTTACCTCTTGTCGCAATACAATGCGCCTTAAATGTCAGTGTGCGGTCCAGTATGACACCAAGATATTCCCCCCTAATCAAAATGGCAGTCATTTTGAAATATGCCTTATTAGCTTTGTAACAGGTTATAGCTGGAACACTAAACTCTACATACCTTTATTAAAAAAGATAATTCACCTTTTTGCCAGTATTAAAATATTAAATTTTTAAAGTTTACTGGGATTATCAAGACTTTATCTTTTGCTTGCTCATCTTAAATAATTAAAATGGCTGCCATTTCGATTTGGAGTGGGATATTGACCTCTGGTTTACACCATTCAACTTCTCTTGATAAACCCTTTAAAATGAGTGGTCACATGATAGGTGTTTAATTTTGAAAATTTGGGGCTGACCCCAAAATACCCCAGTCTGGGGCTGGGGCAAAGTTGTAACTTTGATGAAAAAGTGCAATTTTTTATTTTGTAAATATATGCTGAGTTTGGTTTTCCTACTGCAACGTGTTAAAAAGTTAACTGGGTGGTTTCCATACGTTTGCCTAACTCTGTAGATCTAAAAAAATAGATGAAAATTGTAAAAATAAACTAAATAAAATTATAAAACTAGATAAATAAAAGGAAACGGATCTAAATGTTGACATATGATACTAACAAAGTCCACACCAAATTTGCAGTAAATTGGTTTGACCATTTTTGCGCAATGTCCAGTACAGGTTTCGTTACATAAATACTCACACACATACCCCCACCCACTCACACACAGACACACATAAGATTTCTTTAATATAATTTAGTATGTCTCCGGTTAGTATTGTAGAGTCTTGGTTGGATTTAAGCTATATTTTAGAGTTAACAGGATAATGGATTGTTTTAAAGGTAGTTTTTGTTGTATTTGTCGGCCATTTTGGATTTTGGTGCCGTGTGTGGAAATATTTAAAATTTCAAAAGGGCTCCTAGGCTAAAATTTATTAGTATACCCTAAGGTACCCTCATGCCAAATTTGATGCTTTTATCCGCCATGTAACGGTAATTACACTAAGCCACCGGACTATATATACAATTTGTAATGGTGAGTTCTGCTGAGTCTCAACCAGATAAATCAAAATCTGATTTTCTTCTTTTGGCTCTATCTTTTGATAATGGTTCAGTAGTGACTCTTTCAGTGTTTCTAGTTTATAACAATCGAAACCCGCTATTAGCACACAGTTCGTAAAATACGAATAGTAAAATTAATACTGGAACAGTAATTAAAAACTGCCTTCAAGGACGACACTTGATGGCCATAAAGAACACACAGGGATGTTTGTATATTTATTGAATGTTGAAACATGTTCGCTAACATTAAACCTTTTATCAAGCCAAATATATTTTGTCGTTTCAAAATGTTGTATCTTATAATATTTTGGCAAAAGTATATATTTATTTAAATTAAATAAATAAATTGAATTGAAAAAAAAATTTAATTTTGAGAACAGGAATCGCAATAGGATAACGCGCGAAACAGTTTTGGCGGGGGCGAAGAACCTTAACCTCTACGGCGCATGCGCATGTCAAAACTCTTGGCCTTGAGACTATTTTTCAAGTTGGGCAGTGGCGGATTTACCATAGGCACACTAGGCACGTGCCTAGGGGCGCCAGCCGTTGAGGGGCGCCCCTCAACGGCTGGCGCCCTGGCCGCGGCAGGCAGCGGGTAACGTGACGGGCGGCGTGCGTTGCGGCGGGCGCCAGGTGATTATCGATCGGTGAAGATGACTCACATCACTTTCAGATA